AAAAAAAAAAAAAAAAAAAAAAAAAAAAAAAAAAAAAAAAAAAAAAAAAAAAAAAAAAAAAAAAAAAAAAAAAAAAAAAAAAAAAAATGCGGTTGGCACAATAGGGCACAAAGGTGCAGCCAAAAGGGGGTGCCAGTGACCCCCTAAGTTTGTAAAAAATATGCATGGTTGAAATTGGGGTGGCTATGCTAAATGGCATAAAATTCCAAACCCCCCACAATAAAACAGGAATTCATATGTTCAGCAGCATCACTACAAAAAATAAAAACTAATTCAAGCCCTTGATCAAAAAGACTAAAACCATCGAGAGAAAAATTTAGCAAGGAAAAATCTGTGCTTCTTTAAATCCCCACACCCAAAAACTTTATGCTCTTCTTGCACAAGACCCCACTCCGTCCTCCAATAAAATCCATTAACCAGCAAGAAAAACACATCCCAAATGCGGAAACATCCCGGTAAAAATGTCCTACATCGCAAAACTAAAAACCACTTTATCCAAAACCTATTGCAGCTGCCAGCATTCCAAAACTTCCACAGAAAAAACTGTGGTTAAAAGTACAGCTTTTTTTAATTTTGCAAAATTCCCTCCTCCTCAAACTCCAACAAAATCTAGATAAATCCTAGGAGAATCCCCGAGTGCAATTCCTCACAAGACAACCTGCCACAAATATCTGAATATGTCTGGGTGTTAATGAAAAATCCACCAAGAGGTGCACCCTTGGGGACACAAAATACGGGGGAAACAGGGGGAAGAGTAAGATGGCACCAGTAAGAAACATGATTTGTGTTGTAACCGATTCAACTTAGGGGAGAAGGGGTTAGGGCAAAAAACCAAAACGAGGGGGGTTGGATCCTTATCTTGCTCAGGTGTGGGGAAAGTGGGCAGAGGCTTTGTTCAGGAAGGTGATTTGGGACAGGTGGAGGTGATTCATTCCTAGTAAGGGAGATTTCCTTGTATCAGCGGGGGAAAATTTGGGGGGGAAGGGGTGTAATTTCTGATAGGAGGGGGGATTTGTGCTGGGTGTTAGGGAAATTTGGGGTAATTTGTGCTATGGAGGGGGAATTTGAGGGGTAGAGGTTTTGTGCTGGAATGGGTGATTTTGGAGGGGGGTGGGTTCTGCTAGAAGGGGATGGCAATCAAAATTTAAGCAGCAAGCATGGATGGAGGTCAGAGATGTGTGCTGGGAGGGGATTCTATCCGGGGGGGGGGGGGATTTGTACTGGGAGGAGAATTTTGTTTGGGAAGAATGTTAGCTTGCAAAGGGAATATGTGCATAGCGAGTTAGTGTGCAGTTTAGTGCTTAATTTTTTTTTTTTTGGGTGGGGGGGGGGGATATGTTTCTGAGGATACATCATGCTAAGACATTTTGGTAGGGGGAGGGGGTGTTGTTTGGTGTCTTCGCCCTGGATGGCCTTGTCCTGGAACAGGCCATACCTATGAAAAGCAAATCTGTGGTCAGATCATTTTTCAGAGGCATTTTGAAAGGGGAAACTAAACTCTAGCAATGAATATTGACGATTTTTTTAATCTTTTTGTTGTTAGCGTTAACTAAAATCACAGCTCATCCGCATGTTTTTACCACCTCCCCTAACTGATAGTGTAAACCAGCCGCTATCCACACATACAGATTAAATACATTTTCTTTATACTGTATATAATTGGATAGTTGAAGTGAATCTACTTTTTTTTTTTTTTTTTTTGTGTGAACATTTTAATATTTTCAGCTTCTTTACTAAGGCTCCATTCACACTTGTGCGACTTCAAAATCGTACAATTTTCATTGCAACTTAATGTGGCTTTGATGTGACTTTGGATAATTGCGACTTTGGCTTTGACCAAGTATGATTGTTTCTGCTGTACAAAGTCGCACACAAGTAGCATGTACAACATTCAGGTGCGATTTTCATGCAAACTTTGGGTTTACATTGAAGTCTATGGCTCTCAAGTCGCATGAAAGTTGGACCAAAGTAGTGCAGGAACTACTTTGAAGTCTCTGCTACTTGAAGTCGCACAGATATGAATGGTACCCATTGGGAAAATGGTCATGAGACTTTGGACCCCAAAGAGATGGGTTACTGTAATGGGAGGGAGTGGTAGGGGATCACAGAAAAGGAAGGCTGGTCCTGGGTTTGAGCACCCAAAAAGATTTGCCAAGTTGGGTGAAGTTGGGTGAAGATGTGGGGGTGGGAAGCTCAGAGGTGGCAGCCCTGGATGTCACTGCTATCCCTAATAGCCGGGAGGGCAGACCATCTGGGAGGGGTGGTGAGGGTAGTGCAGGAAGGCCTAGACAGTTGGTGGTAGTAGGAGATTCTATGATCAGAAGGACTGATAGAATAATTTGTCACCAGGATGGCCTCAACCGAATGGTTTGCTGTCTCCCTGATGTCAGGGTTCGGCATGTGGTGGAACGGGTTGATAAATTACTGGGAGGGGCTGGGCATGACCCAGCTGTCTTGGTCCATGTTGGAACCAATGACAGAATACATGGAAGGTGGAGACTCCTTAAGAATCAATTTAAAGAACTAGGCTGCAAGTTGAAGGGAAGGACCCTCCAAGGTGATATTCTCTGAAATATTACCAGTGCCATGCGCAAAATGTGGAAAATTTCAAGGGGTATGAATACTTTTCAAGGCACTGTAATGTAATACCCTATATCACTACTGACCAGAGAAGTCCTTATATACAGCTCTATTTCCTAATCTTTAGTTATCTGACAATGCCAGAGCCATGTTCCAGTAATTCTCTCATCTTTGTTGTTATATGTATATAAGGCACCATTGTGCTCGTCATGTAACCAGCAAGTGAAAAACTAGTTATGTGCCCTATAACAGTTGTATAGATTGTATTCTGATGAACAAAACACAACCAAATAAACAGGCGAATCAGTAAACTAAACTCATGAATATGAAGACATAATTTTCAGAGCCTTAAAGTGCTTATAAACCTCGAACATGAAATAAGAAACAAAGCATATCCCTCTATAGTGTGTACTTGTCTCAATCTAGAGCATTAAATGTCAGTTCTGTCTACTACTGCCTTGTTCCTCTTCTATCAGCATGAATCGTTTATGACAGGTTTTCCTGACATCAAGAGATAAAAAGGTGACAAGGGAGGAACCTCCAGCACACAGCCTGTGATTGACAGCCTCAGCTGTGTGCTGTGTGAAGGGGTGGTGTGTCTCTTCCCTCCAATCAGCTATCAGAGCTCTCCTCACTGAGCTACGCAGTGTGTAACTTCAATTCCCTGCCCCTGCTTTCTGAAAATTCAAGCAAGCTGTATAAATTCAGCTCTTTGAACTAGTGTAGAGAAGAAAGTGAAACAAATAAACAGGTACAACTTAGGTAGGAGGATTTGTTTCATCTGTGTATCACACGAGGTCAGTCAATTCACTGGGTATATGGAAGGGTTTACAACCACTTTAAAGGAATTATAACTGCCCTTCAAAGCCTAACAATGATAAATTGAAGGATATTGTCATATTTAAATTATAAGGCCTCATGCTCATTGCACGTTTGTTTTATTTTTCCTCCCTGGACGCCTTTGCTCCAAAGGAGGAAAAAGCAGCATAAAAAAACACGCCTAAAGCCACGTTTTGCAAACATGTTTAGATGCATCAAGCTTTTGGGCATTCATTCATTCCAGTGGCCAGAATATTAATATATTTAATAATACACACTACTGCAATGCGGTTTTGATGTGACTCGCAGTGCGATCATGTAGTGTGACTTTAGTTGCGTTTTGTATGTGGTTTGCATATTCCATGGGGCCAAATTGCACTGTAAATTATACCAAAGTAGCTCAGGACCCCTTTCCGAAACTACATTGGAGCTGAGCTGCATTGATGTGAACAGGCACCATTGGAAGCCATGTTATTTCCATTGTCGTATGATTCGGTTCAAAACAAGTCGCATCTGAAATCGCATGAGTGCGAACCAGATCTAAAGTGAACCTTCACTTAAAAGGGAAATTACTGCTCGTTCACCATTCCACCTCCTCCTCTAATATATTCATTTTTCCTCTCCCACTTTTGCATTTCTTGCCAAGTTGATAATCCCATCAGCTTGGCCTGCAAAGTCACCCCCTGCAGAGGCGTCCCTAGGGTAGGTGCTACCCGGTGCGGTAACACTTGGTGACACCCCCTCCGACGATCCCCGCAGAATGGATCGGATCTGCGGAGTGAGCATAATGGGTCGGACTCCGATCCATTATGCTCAATCCGGAGATCCGATGCATCCTGCGGGATGCAACCTATACGGGGTGACACCGGACCCGCTCCAAGAAAAGGAAAGTTGTAAAGAAAGCCGACGATCCCCGCAGGATGGATCGGATCCATCCTTCGGGGATTGTCGGCTTGCTTTACAACTTACTTTTTTGTGGAGTGGGTATGGTGTCACCCCGTGCCGTCGGTGTCACCCGGTGCAGGCCGCACCCCCCACATCTGCCTCGGAACGCCACTGACCCCCTGCCTACATACAACCTCCTGGGACACATGGAGGAGGCTGCTGGACCAGGCTGACAGCCCAGCACAATCTCATGTATGCACAGTGAATCGAGTGAGGACTCCAGCAAGCATTTAGGTAATGGGGAGGCAATAAAAATACTGGGAATTTTTTTATCAAAATGCAAGGAATACATTAAGGTAAAAAATGTTTATTGCTTTGAGAACTCTGCCCAGGAAGGAGGTAGAAGCAACCAAGTGGTGTTACAGCCAACCAAATCACTTCTGCTAAAAGTGAATACTCTTCTATGTTTATGATCTTCTGTGTCTATCAGAAATGATCTGAGTGACTACAAAGCCATTGGATATCAGTGGCCCCTGGACACACATCAAGCTCTAGGCACTCGCCAAAGGTAGCCAGTTGGGTAATGCTTCCTGATTAAAGCCCCTTGCTAGCACCCAACATTTTGCCGTAGGCTCCTAGATTTTGGGAAGCTTTGACCTCTGGTCAATGATAATAGAATTCTAACTATGTTTTTCTATGTTTCAGTTACACCAACGATCAAGATATCTCTACTACATGAAGACCCCAATTCAGAGCACCACATGCTGGCGTGTAATGTGAATGGTTTCTACCCATCTGAGATAGAAGTAAGATGGTACCGGAATGATGTGGAGGAAACCGCTCAGGTTCAGTCTACAGACATCTTTCAAAACGGAGATTGGACCTTCCAGGTCCTGGTGATGCTAGAGACAAAGATAAAAAAAGGAGATACCTTCACCTGTGAGGTCTTTCACAGCAGCCTGGAGACACCAACCAGAATTGATTGGCGTAAGTCTATTTCCATTCTGAGAAAAGGAGATTCTGTGTTTGCTTATTTCCTCCCTTGTCATCCTTGTCCCCTTAAAGCAGATCTATAGGCAAAACTTTTTTGTTTCATTTTGGATAGAATAAGGTAGGGTTATAACTCGTCAGATTTTTGTCGCCATGTGTGTCCCATTGGGGAGACTTCCCTTCACTTCCTGTCCCATTGCCAAACAGAAAGTGAGAGGAAATCCCTGCAAATTAAGGGAATTCCTTGGGGACCCCTCAGTTCACCAGAACTAGTGTCCCCATTGGAAGATTTCCCCTCTATTTTTCTGGGGACAACCCAAAATGTGGGATTTTCTTTTACTTTCAATGATAATGGTAAATTGTACACTGAGCTGCGCATGCTTTCCCAAGTAAAGTTACACTTTTAAGGGCTCATTTACACTTGCTTCAACTTTAACACACATTAAAGTGCCTGTCGCTTCAGAGAGCTTTATTGATGTGTTTTTGATGCTTCGGTGATGCTTTTTTGAAGCTTTAATGAAGCTTGGTAAATGTGTCTGTGTGTGTTTTGATTTTCTATTTGTTTTAAAGGGGTTCAGTAGAACCGCAGCTCTTTAGTACCCCCACTCAGCGGATCCCCAGCTCATTGGTATCCTTGTTCAGAAGATCCCCTGGTCAGTAGTCCCCCCAGTTCTACTGATGCCCCACTCAGTAGTACCCCCATCTTTGCAGATCACCCGCTCAGTAGTAACCCCCAACTCTGCTGATCCCCACTCAGTAGTGACCCCCAGATCTGATGATCCCCTACTCAGTAGTACCCCCCAGCTCTGCTGATCCCCCACTCAGTAGTAACCCCCCGATCTGCTGATCCCCCACTCAGTAGTACCCCCAGCTCTGCTGATCCCCCACTCAATAGTAACTCCCAGCTCTGCTGATCCCACACTCAGTAGTACCCCCCCAGCTCTGCTGATCCCCCACTCAGTAGTAACCCCCAGATCTGCTGAACCCCCACTCAGTAGTAACCCCCAGATCTGCTGATCCCCCACTCAGTAGTAACCCCCAGATCTGCTGATCCCCTACTCAGTAGTACCCCCCAGCTCTGCTGATCCCCCACTCAGTAGTAACCCCCAGATCTGCTGATCCCCCACTCAGTAGTTCCCCCAGCTCTGCTGATCCCCCACTCAGTAGTAACCCCCAGATCTTCTGATCCCCCACTCAGTAGTAACTCCCAGCTCTGCTGATCCCCCACTCAGTAGTACCCCCAGCACTGCTGATCCCCCACTCAGTAGTAACCCCCAGCACTGCTGATCCCCCACTCAGTAGTAACCCCCAGCACTGCTGATCCCCCACTCAGTAGTAACCCCCAGCACTGCTGATCCCCCACTCAGTAGTAACCCCCAGCTCAGCTGATCCCACACTCAGTAGTAACTCCCAGCTTTGCCGTTTCCCCACTCAGTAGTAACTCCCAGCTCTGCTGATCCCACACTTAGTAGCAGGGGCGGACTGACAACTCATGGGGCCCCCAGGCAATAGGGGATCATGGGGCCCCTGTGTCCTTGCCCAAATTCAAAAAAGCCTATGAAAAAGGTACCAGGGGCATCTCATGGGGCCCCCTACTGACCCGGGCCCTTGGGCAGTGCCCAAGATTCCAAATGGTCAGTCCGCCTCTGCTCAGTAGTAACTCCCAGCTCTGCTGATTCCCCACTCAGTAAACCCCCAGCACTGCTGATCCCCCACTCAGTAAACCCCCAGCACAGCTGATTTTTTTGGTTTGCTGATCCCCCTCACTCTCTTTAGGTCCCCTCTCTCCTCCCACTACATTGCTCCCACTCTGCGCATGATGTGTGACATTACTAGTTCCAGTCCAAACCCCGTTCACCTTCCTGCTGATCCATTCTGCACACCAGATGTGACATCTGCACCAAACACTTCTAGAATATATACACATGAACTGAGTAACTGCTGATGACGTCATTCTGGTTCGCTCCTTGGTTTACCAGTGCATCCTGGGATATCTCACACCTGCAATACCTCAAAAACAAAGCAAAGCAAATTAAATAAAAGCCTCTCAAAAGCTGCAGGTGCTGCTAGCGATCTTTGTCATAGACTTCTGTGGAGGCTTTGGAGACCCTTTGAAGCTCCAAGAAATTGACATTGGTTAGAATTTGTGAAGCAAAGCAAACACAAACAGGACTGTAAGCGTACCATTTTATTTAGTGACAGGGGCTTTGATTGGCATTTAGAGCGCTCTAAAAAAAGCGTGTTCAGTGCCACATTTTGAAGCATGTGTAAATTAGCCCTAAGCTACGAATGCTCCCTGGCGGCGATTAGCTATGAGAACCTCAGCGGGGATTCCCAGGATTAGCTATGAGTAGACAGTCCCATTGAAAACAAATGGGAGGCTGCCGGCTCTCACAGCTATTTGTTACTAATTAGATATTTGGACAAGGTAAAGTAAAAATCAACTCCGTACATACGGTATGTATTGTTCATTGAACAGCTGAAGTTATTTTGTGACATGTGCAATAACATTAGCAGAGATTGCAAATCATGCTGACCCTGGCTGGTAGAATGATAGAGAAGGGACAGGGCAGGGGTGAGTGACAAAGTATCATATTTGTAGTTATTGCAGAAATTGTACAGTAAAGTCTTGATTACACTGGTGATTGGTGGGCGGTTATATACATTTTAGCTGCATTTTCAACACCCCCCAACTGACCCCTGTTAAGCTGCTAAATCAGCTAAATGGGGGTGTGCACATGCTGTGCAAAAAAATATACTCTCTGTAATTCCCAAGTGCATGGAGCTGCAATGCTAGCACCCTGCTGCCATGTGTAATGTACGCAGTTCCAGTGCGGTGGTGTGGCATTTAAAGGGGTAAAAGTAAGGATGTGACGTATTGTCTCCAAACTGCTTGTCAAATGCCTCTAAAAAGCAATCGACCACAGGTCACTTTTCAGAGGGGGTGGCGAAGTCTGCCACACATCTAAACTTGGCCAAAGAATTTTATTCCTTGTACTTCATCAGTTCCTCATATTTCTTTGCAGACCCCCAGGAATCAGAATCAGCAAGAAACAAGGTGGCAACTGGAATTGTGGGATTTGTGCTGGGAACCATACTTATCATTGGCGGTGTGGTTGTCTATCTGAGAGGTCGCAAAGGTAAATACAAAATCTGTTGTCCTCCCAATGCAAAATGAGATTTCAGTCATGTTAGTGACCACTTTTATTCTTTTTTACAGCCCAAATGACATTCCGTGGACCCCAGGCTGAACGTAAGTGTTTTTTTTTTTAGTTTTTTGCAGCTAATGTTATTTTGAAAAAAGTGATCTATAAGCCACACACACTTCATACCAGAGCCTCATCTATAGCAGATTTGGAACTGAAAAAAAATGAATCACTTTTAGACACAAGTGTGCTTTTACTTTGTAGATTTGTTTTGGAAGATTTTAAAACTTAACCTCCCTGGCGGTATTCCCGAGTGTAGCTCGGGGTAAAATTTGTATACCAAGAGCGGTAACCCCGAGCTACACTCAGGCTTACCATGCGGCATTGCTCAGTGATTCCATGCAGCGCTAACTTTTCCTTCGCTCTCGCGATGTGTCTACTGCAGTGTCCCCGGCCATCTCCTCTGGCTGATGCCGGCATCCGGCTTCCGTGTTCCGGTCCCTGTGACGTCGGGACGTACGGCGGCCGTAACCGGCGGCAAATTTTTTAAAATTTTATTTTTTTGTAAATGAATATTACATAGTAAAACATTGCTGTTTCAAACCATTTCACATACATTTTGTCCCGAGTGCTTTGTCCTGTGCCCTGCCTGCATTTTTCCTGTTCTTTCTGCCTGGAAACTTAGAAACGTCCATGGCGTCCAAAAAGCGTCCCTTTAGGTCAAAAGCAGTTTTAGACCAGCTAGAGAACAGCGATAGTAAATCAGAACCACTTGCAGAATTGAGTGATAATGATTCGTGGGGAAATTCGTCATCAGACACTGAAAACGATTCTGCAACTGAGCTCAGCAATGTGCGAACTTGGCGCTATATTTCAAATTTCAGTGTTTTTGGTTGAATTAAATTTATTATTATTATATTATTTTTATGATTATTTATTAAATTATCATTTATGATTTCGTGTTTCAAATTTTACCATATCCGTAATGTTTACTAGACTCTTGTTCGGACAGATTTCAGTGAGTTATTCTTACAAAAAAATACATATTTCCATGCAAAATAATGGTACGCTTTCAGCACCAAAAATCTGAAATAATCATACCGCCAGGGAGGTTAAAAAGGAATTGGCCTTGTATAAGAAAATCATTTCTTGGGAAGTTATTTTTGGGCAAATATGAAAGTTAGGAAGACAAGCATTGTTAAATCCTATACCCCTCAATGGGGCCCTAGTGCTCTAAAAGCCCATATTATAAGTTGAACTCCAAGATACAAATAAAAATCTTCTTATCAGTGAAGTCAGCTATGTAACTATAAAAGCTGCTAATCAGTTACTAAACAACCTCACCATTTAGCTGCTAATTGTGATGAAAAATCGGTGAGGTCATCGTTGCAATTAAAAAAAAAAGCGGCTTCATCTGGGCACCTGGAGCTATAATGGAGGCAGGCAGGTCAAATCAAGTGGTCCCCGCACCCCCCGCACTTGCCTCGGGGTGCCACTGCCTGTGGTGCTTATTGAGCAACAATATAACAGGGTGGTTGAACGGACGTCCGTTGGTAGATCAACTTTTGTTCAACTACTGTGGCCATACTTGGATTAAAATTTGTCTGGTCCCTGCTGAACCGGCTGAATTTCAATCCATGTTCAGCCAGCTTAAAGCAGTATTAAACTCATAAGCAAACATTCATTATATTGCAGCTTACCAATTCTTAGATGTGATGTCTGGCTTAGTTTCTGTTTTTAGGCTTTCTTTCTTCTATTTTCATCTGGTGATCCACCAGTAAGTCTGTTATTTTTCAACAGAAGAAGCTATCTTGCAATTGCAGAGATGAGACAACCCATTTTATAACTGGCAGGGGTGCTTAAATGATTATCTTTTATTTATGTAAAACCTTTATCTCAAAAGGAACAAAACTGTTTGCTGTAACTGATTATGAAGCATTAGCTGAAATTTGGATTCAGTTTGTTAGTATATTTAAATCTAGTACAGCAATCACTCCCCTCCCCCAGACTGACAATGCTGCTGTCCAGATATGCCCCCTGTGCTCCTTCATCCAGAGTGGGAGCACTCTAATGCAGAGGTGAGTTACTGGTCAAATCACCAGGTGATAACAGAGGGAAAAATATATAAATGAATGAGAATATGTAACAAATATAAAGTAAGTGCCACCCAGATTGGCTGCAGAAGTGGAAATACACTTTTAGGTCCCATGCACACTGGGCGCTTAACCCTGGTGCATGGGACTCCTGGAAAACAGTGAGAAGCATAGTAATGACATAACCAAATGTCACTCCAAATCTCCTGAGACTTGCATTCAGAGGCAGCAGTGCAGATGATCTCACGCTGCGGATGTACAGTTACGAAACTGTAGGCACAGGAGGTGCACTGCTATTTTTCAGGTAGAGTTCAAGACAAAGGGTTCATTTTCAGAATGCTGCTTAGGCTCAATGAACACTTCTAGATGTTTCTACTAAGATGGCAAATCTTCACTTTTTAAAGTTCAAGGCCACTATAAATTATAAAGCCAAGACTGTAGCCAATACCTTTCAGCACATACAGTGTACAGGTATAGCAAAGCATCACCCCAGCTCTTTAAAGTAATTAAATTTTGTTGCTTTTGCAACCTGAAATGAAGACAGACAGTTTTTTGTTTTATCCAGCTGTATTTATTCAGTGCAAACTATAACATCCAAGTGAAAGATTTAACACCAACATGTTAGAATTTATTTTTTAAAACATTCAAAAACAGAATCACTGAGCTGGAAAAAGGATCACCCCCCTCCTCCTAAAAATGACACAAGCCATTTTGCTTTCAACTGTGGTCAGCTGTGGTCATTTTGATTAGTGCAGCATGAAAAGAGCTTTCCTGGAGCATTTCAGTCCCTGTTAGCGCAACTGAAGCAAACAGTTAACTATGGGTGGCAAGGCACTGTCAAAAGATCTCCAGGATAAAGTTGTGGACAGGTACAAGTCGGGAGATGGATAAAAAAAAAATTAAAGGCTTTATCAATGCCTAGAAACACAGTGAAGTCTATATTATTAAGTAGTGGAAGGTATTTGGTATAACACAGACCCTGCCTGGATCAGGACATCGCTCCAAACTGGATGAAAGAGCCAGGAGGATACTGGTCAGAGAGGCTACCAAGAGGTCTACAGCAATTCTGAAGCAGTTGCAGGAATTTATGACAAAGAGCAGTCATTGTGTGCATGTGACAATAATATCACAAATTCTCCAGAAATGTGGCTTGTATGGGAGGGTTGCATGAAAAAGGATGCTCCTCAAGAAAGGCCACATGTACTCACCGGTGAGCTTTGCCAAAACACACCTTGAAGATTCTGAGGCCACTTGGAAAAAGGTGTTCTGGTCAGATGGGACTAAAATGGAATGATTTGGCCTCAACACTAAACAATATGTCAATAATCCCGTCCAGCTCACCATCCAAATCCCACCATTCCTGCAGTAAAGCATGGAGGGGGGAATATCCTGGTATGGGGGTTTTTCGGCAGCAGGGACTGGAGCACTTGTCAGGAAACAAGGAAAAATGGATGGGGTAAAATACCATCAGATTCTTGATTCAGGTGGGAAGAAAATCATCTGCCCTCTGCCAGAAAGTTGTCAGTGGGAAGAAGTTTTACCTTCCAACATGGCAATGACCCATAGCACACAGAAACATTGAGCCCAGAGAGGTTGGGGGAGAAGAAGGTGAATGTCCTCGCATGGTCTAGTCAGAGCCCAGACTTAAGCCCCATTGAAAATCTGTGGAATGACTTGAAGACTGCAGTCCACAAACTGTCACCATCAAATGTAGCTGAACTTGAGCAATTCTGCAAAGAAGAGCGGGCAGATATTGCAAAGTCTAGATGTGCAGAGTTAGTAGAGACATAACTCAACAGACTAAAGGCTGGACTTAAAAGAGAAGTATGGGGGGGTTTCCCCATTATACTTACTTAGGTGGATGAAGCATCGGACCGATGCTTCATCTGTTGCGTGGCGGCTCTAAGGGTGAGAAATCGGTGATCACATGACCGCTGATCATGGAGTTCTCCTCTCACTTTGAGCAGAGAGGAGGACTGTCAGTCCCCGCTGTCTGCTCAGCTCCCCCAGCACTCACTGGATGTGAAGGGAGAGGGAGTGGCTGAGCCGGGCGCTTTGCTGAGAGGCTGAGCTGGATGCCGCTCCAGATTCTGGGGTGGATCCCGACTGTGAAGTCGGCATCTTTCCTCAGCCTGGATCAGCTGAGTGACATCAACTTCAATCCGCTGTCAGCTGAAAACGGGTGACTGGAGTGCTGAACGAACTGCACTCCTGTGATCCACAGGAGAAGTACAGCCAAAAGAGCTTTGGCTGTACTTCTCCTTTAAAGCAAAAGGTGGTTCAACACAATACTGACACGAGGAGGTGATCCATTTTCCAACTCTGATTGGACAGTGATTCTGTTTTTGAATTTTTTATTTTTTTCTGACATGTGGTTGGTGTTATATCTTTCACTTGGATGTTATAAGTTGCACTGAGAAAATACAGCTGGATAAAACAGAAACTGTGTCTGTCTTCATTTCATTTTTTAAAGGGAGGTGATTTCTTTTCTATACCCACTATATTTCTTTAAAAATATTTAGTTCTTTCCTTTTGTGACATGAAATTGACCTTTCACCACTGTTACATTATATATCCATCTATATTTGTTGCTCTTTTTATGATTTTATACTAATGGTATTATTTTTTTGTTCTATTACTCTTTCAGATTTTATACACACATAAGTGAGAGAAGTTCTGTCGCTACTCTGCTGATTTTGGACTGCTTACTGTACAAATCTGAAGCTATCATGTTCGAGGTCTCAGTCCACTGTGTTATCTAAAGCCTGGCATATAGTCAAACAATCAATAAAATAAGAAATCTGTAACATAAATGATCTTAGTATGTGGAAGTGACAAAAGAAAGCATTTTCATGGCCAAACAGTAAAATCCATCATTGCCAATTCTGTAGGAATTTTGAAGAAAAACAGTTACTTTTCAGATGCATGGCTTCTGGTAGTTTTGTGTATTCCGGTGAGCTCTTTTAATACCGTGTGGCTGGGAGTAGCTTGTAAAATCTTAGTGTACATTCTGTAG